GGGCCAGGTGCAGTAGCTCATGCCTGTAATCCCAGAACTTTGGGAGGACAAGGTAGGTGAATTGCTTGAGCTTACTAGTTCAAGACTAGACTGGGCAACATGGAGAAACCCCCTCTACAAAAAATACAAAAATCAGTCTAGTATGATGGTGTGCACCTGTAGCCTCCTCTACTTGGAAGGCTGAGGTGGGAGGATTGCTTAAACCTGGTAGTTGAACCAAGACCATGCCACTGCACTCCAGCCTGGATGACAGAACCAGACCTTGTCTCCAAAAAAAGGGAAGGAAGGAAGGAAGGAAGGAAGGAAGGAAGGAAGGAGGGAAGGAGGGAAGGAGGGAAGGAGGGAAGGAGGGAAGGAGGGAAGGAGGGACGGAGGGAGGGAGGGAAGGAGGGAAGGAGGGAAGGAGGGAAGGAGGGAAGGAGGGAAGGAGGGAAGGAGGGAAGGAAGGAAGGAAGGAAGGAAGGAAGGAAGGAAGGAAGGAAGGAAGGAAGGAAGGAGGAAGGAAGGGAGGGAGGGAGGGAGGTGAGTAGAGGGAGGGAGGGAGGGAGGGAGGAAGCAAGGAAGGAAAGGAAAGGAGGAGGGAGGGAAGGAAGGAGGGAGGGATTGACCACATGCTTCAGTAGCCTATATACTAAAATTGGAACTTCATATGGAACCAAAGACTTCCTGAACCAACTTCCCTGAAGACACAGGGAAGATTAGCATGGCCCCCGCACAAATTTGTGAAGTGTTTCATTAAAAAAAGAAACACAAGAAAGATATTTCTAATATCACACAATTGTTGGTGGAATAGAGGCAAAAATGGATTACTCTAAATCAACCTTTTTGGCTCTAATTATAGCAAAAAACTTCCATCCCCACCACACCCAGTGTATTCTGCCTGTAGAACATACTTTAAGTCAAGTGGGCTTAAGAAGGCAAAAACAATAAACCTAACAGGTAATCACAGCTTGTTACTTAGGAGTTTATCACAACAGGTCATGGACAAGTTGTTTCGCTCTCCACCATGAGTACTAATTGGTCAAATAAAATCAGTCACTTACTACAAAGTAGGTACCAATGTTTATCTAGGTTAGTTTCCATTATAGCTACTGGAAACCTAATAGAGTAAATCTTCTGTTGTAAACTGACATAATTATGCTTTAGGTCACCCCTAAAGATTTCTGCCCAGATCTGAATCTATATACTTGAAAAAGAAAAACTGTCACTTGGTTCCTATATTACACTAAACTATTTCTGTTATTATAGGGTAAAGTCCCTTATTACTCGCTTTGGAATTCCACCCAAGACATATGGCTGTAAGTTCAATAAAATAAAGTATAAGATGTAAAGAAAATATTTTAAAAAACACTGTTTACAACACAAAGTTGTTTGAATTAAAGTATAAAAACTTGGAATCCAGCAATTTTATTTATAAAAATGTTTGGTTTTTTTAAAAGAAGAATCTAATTACTATACTATGCTTTCTCAACTCAGTTAAACACAAACTATATTCATTTCCAATTTTTTGTTCGATATTTAAATTAGAATAGCTTATAAATATACATAAGTGTTAATACATGAAGTAATTTAGAAATAATTTAATCTACTTTGTAGCAGTAGTCTAAATAATTCTTTGTACAGCTATATATAGATAGGTTGCTGCATATTTTTTTACATGAATAAAGAAGCTGTGCAATTAATATAAAAGTTACTTTTAATCACTAAAATATCTTTAGAAAAAGAAATTCTAATACTATTTACTAATCCATCAAATACAGTAGAAATTTCTAAACATATGCATACAATTATATTTAAATTCATATGTGATTACTATTTTGCACATGAAAAAAATTTACAAAACACACTACCACTGCTATCTGTTCCTTTGTATGTTCATTGATTTATCACATATTTTAGCTAAACATGTAGCTTTCAGATAGTTCCTAATTTTAAGTTTCATAACATTTCATTTATTCCACAGCATTAGGAGCTGAAATGGGTCTAATATATTCAGGAAGAAAACAGAAATTCTGGGGTCTCTTTTGAACACATTTTCCTATACTGTTTTCAAAGCTTTTGTTTTGCTTTTTAGAAACTTGACTCATTTGTCTATTTTTTTTTAACTTTAGGATATACATGAAGTCATACTCAATAAATAATGTAATTTGATTAAAAGTGCTGTAAGAAACAAAATACTCAGCTTCCTAATATTTGAAATTAAAAAATTTTTTACACACATATATTTTATTGCACTTTAGATTCTGGGGTACATGTGCAAAACATACAGGACTATTGCATAGGTACATACACAGCAATATGGTTTACTACCTCCATATCCCTGTCACCTATATCTGGAGAAATCTCCCCATATTATTCCTCCCCAACCTCCTCACTTCCTGCTGTCCCTCCCCTAGCCCCTGCAACAGACCCCAGGGTGTGATGCTCCCCTTCTTGTGTCCGTATTCTCACTGTTCAACACCTACCTATGATGAGAACATGCAGAGTTTGTTTTTCTGTTCTTGTGTCAGTTTGCTGAGAATGATGTTTCCAGATTCAGCCATGTCCCTACAAAGGACACAAACTCATCGTTTTTTATGGCTGCATAGTATTCCATGGTATATATGTGCCACATTTTCCTCGTCCAGTCTATCATTGATGGGCATTTGAGTTAGTTCCAGGTCTTTGCTATTGTAAACAGTGGCACAACAAACATTTGTGTGCATGTGTCTTTATAATAGAATTTATAATCCTTTGGGTATACACCCAGTAATGGGATTGCTAGGTCAAATGGAATTTCTATGTCTAGATCTTTGAGGAATCGCCACACTGTCTTCCACAATGGTTGAACTAATTTACACTCCCACCAACAGTGTAAAAGTGTTCCTATTTCTCCACATCCTCTCCAGCATCTGTTGTCTCCAGAGTTTTTAATGTTCGCCATTCTGACTGGCGTGAGTTTGTATCTCAATGTGGTTTTGATTTGCATTTCTCTAATGACCAGTGATGATGAGCATTTTTTCATATGTTTGTTGGCCTCATATACGTCTTCTTTTGAAAAGTGTCTGTTTATGTGCATCGGCCACTTTTGAATGGGTTTGTTTTTTTCTTGTAAATCTCTTTCAGTTCTTTGTAGATTCTGGATATTAGCTCTTTGTCAGATGGGTAGATTGCAAATATTTTTCCCATTCTGTTGGTTGCCAGTTCACTCTAATGATTGTTTCTTTTGCTGTACAGAAACTCTGGAGTTTAATTAGATCCCATTTGTCTATTTTGGCTTTTGTTGCCATTACTTTTGGTGTTTTAGTAATGAAGTCCTTGCCGATGCCTATGTCCTGAATGGTTTTGCCTAGGTTTTCTTCTAGGGTTTTTATGGTGGTAGGTCTTATGTTTAAGTCTTTAATCCATCTGGAATTAATTTTGGTGTAAGATGTCAGAAAGGGGTCCAGTTTCTGCTTTCTGTACATGACTAGCCAGTTTTCACAACACCATTTATTAAACAGGGAATCCTTTCCCCATTGCTTGTTTTTGTCAGGTTTGTCAAATATCAGATGGTTGTAGATGAGTGGCATTGCCTCTGAGGCCTTTGTTCTGTTCCACTTGTCTATATCTCTGTTTTGGTACCAGTACCATGCTGTTTTGATTACTGTAGCCTTGTAGTATAGTTTGAAGTCAGGTAGTGTGATGCCTCCAGCTTTGTTCTTTTTGCTTAGAATTACCTTGGCTATGCGGGCTCTCTTTTGGTTCCATGTTAAGTTTAAGGTGGTTTTTTCCAGTTCTGTGAAGAGGGTCATAGGTAGCTTGATGGGGACAGCATTATATCTATAAATTACTTTGGGCAGTATGGCCATTTTCACAATATTGATTCTTCCTAAGCATGAGCATGGAATGTTTTTCCATCTGATTGTGTCCTCTCTTATTTCCTTGAGCAGTGGTTTGTAGTTCTCCTTGAAGAGGTCCTTTACATACTTTGTTAGTTGTATTCCTAGGTATTTTATTCTCTTTGTAGCAATTGTGAATGGCAGTTCATTCTTGATTTGTCTCTCTTTAAGTCTGTTATTGGTGCACCGGAATGGTTTTGATTTCTGCACATTGATTTTGTACCCTGAGACTTTGCTGAAGTTGCTTATCAGTTTAGGGAGATTTTGAGCTGAGACAATGGGGTCTTCTAAATATACAATCACATGATGTGCAAATAGAGACAATTTGACTTCCTCCTTTCCTAATTGAATACCCTTTATTTCTTTTTCTTGCCTGATTACTCTAACTACAACTTTTAATACTATATTGAATATGAGTGGTGAGAGAGGGCGACAAGTGGTGTCCTTGTCTAGCGACAGATTTCAAAGGGAATGCTTCTAGTTTTTGCCCATTCAGTATGATATTGGCTGTGGATTTTTCGTAAATTGCTTTTAGTATTTTGAGATATATTCTGTCGATACCTAGTTTACTGAGAGTTTTTAGCATAAAGGGCTGTTGAATTTTGTGGAAGGCCTTATTACATATTTTTACTATTTGTATAGCAAAAAGCAGAGGACAATAAAGGAAAGTATATATGCTGTGCAACTATGATCCACTACTGGCTACAGTGCTTAATAACTCTAGTGGAATAACTAATAGTTTTTCTTCACTTAAAATTCATTATGCTGCTAAGGAAAAGAAACTCTAATAAGGCCAAGGACACAATTGATGCACTGAACTGGGAAAGACTAAAGTTGTTAATTTATTCAGTCATTTCTTTGACAAATATTTTTTGAACTTCCTTCAAGTAACCAGTCTTATAACCAGTGGGATCCCTACTCTCTAGAAGACAACATTAAAAGGCATAGAGAGAATGATAAACAAATTATTACAAATGTGACGAAGGCTGTGAAGAGAAGGTATAAATAAACCAGGAGAACTCAGCCAGTTCAGGTCAAGGTAAACCTCCTTTAGAAGATGACATCTGATAACTGATCAGTTAGGTGGGAGGAGTTGAGGAAAGCAGAGAGTGTTTGCCAGTTAAAGGGTGGAACCTGCAAAAACCCAGAGAAGAAGATTATTAACTATATTCATGAAATTTAAAAAAGTGTTTATAGTTAGAAAGGAGAGATAGAATTGTGTAAATATAACGTCAGGGATATGAGACTATCAGAAGGTAATGAGAAAGCTGTTAAGTACTAAGTAGGGAAGTGAAACAAATTTACAAAAGCAGTTTGGATTATGGGAGCAGAAGCTATCCTGAAATGGGCTAAAGACCATGAAAATAAACAATTCGTTTAAAAAATTTGATGGTGGGGGGAGAAAGGGAGTTGCAGCTGAAACAACAAGTTGATTAATTTGTTACTTTCATTTGATTCTTGGATTTATTTGTACATGTTTAAATGTTGACAGTGAAAAGCCTACAGGGAGAAGAAGGTGGAGGAAAGAAAAATTCCTCAGATGATTAAAAAGGGTGGAACCCACACCTCAGGAAATTATAGGTAATCATTAACCCAATGTGTTATTTTCTCCAAAAGTGCTTGATGGCAGTAAAGTCAGGTAAGATTTATCCAGGGTCATAATACTTGTCGGTTGATATAAAGATGACTAATGGGAAAAGATTTTGCAGACACTGAAATGAGAGTAAAGTGATTGGAGTCTATGATAGATAAGATAATGCAAATAGTAAGGGTCTAATAAAGAGATCTTAATGTAGTCAGATAGGAGGAAGTAATCAGAGGCAAGATGTCTGGATTTGTTATTTCACAGTTGGAAAATCTGTAATGAAGGCTCCAAACATGGTTCTTTGTGGGTAGAGCTCAACACGAGAGCTAAGGAGGTCAAGGAATTTTTCCACCAGGAATGCCCTCTTTGCATAGGACCATTGTCCTTTTGTTATGTTGTGTTCTCTGAGAAATCCATGCAATAAGACAGAATGCAATTCCTCCCTACCCCATCCTAACTCCACCCATTCCCACAAATTTTAAAATACCAAGGAGAAAAAGCAGGGTGGAATCCGAGAAAAAGGTAAACCAAGAAATAGAATGCTTGACCCTGCTTTTGGTTTTTCAAGCCTTTTTGTAATACACAGACCCCTTTGTTTAATCAGTATCTTACACGAAATACAAATGGTAAAACAGAAAAGTACAGCTGCTCTGCTAGAAGTAGGACCTGAGGTTTTGTTAAATGCCTCTTGTCCTTGTCCTTCCCACTTGCTTATATCTAGAAGACACCTAGGACCTCAGAGCACAACTGACCATTTTTGTTCAAGCCGAACAAAAAAGTAAAAATTCTATGCTTTCTTAAGACTACACATCCTAGTTTAGATCACTGTAGATCACATAAGTTAAGACAATGTAAGGAGCTATGGGCACAAAACTCTAACAAATAATGAAGAAACTTTACTTGTATCTCCCTTTCTATACTTAGCAGTAGGACTTTTTCATCTTTGGGAAGAAACCTGTATGTGCCAAAACTTTTATCAGACATTTTGTATAACTGCCTTCTATTCTTTTAAAATTCTTGTCAGGAAGTTATATTATTCTCAACTGCAAAAAGTTAAGGCCCAGAGAGGTCAAGTAACTTGCCCACAGTCACAAAGTTAATAAGTTAACAAGTCAGAATTCAAAGCTGATTTCAGAGCCCCAATGTCGATTATATCACATTGCCTCCAAGATTCAAGAATTTAACAATGTATCTTTATATATAAACTCTTCTGGCTAAAAGCCCATAAAATGTTTTTTCATACATATTATTAAAAACAGCTCAACCTTAGAGAATTATCATGTAACTGTTTTAGATTAATAGGGCATAACATGGGCATTCCAACAGATCTCTGCTGAATCTGCTTTCTTTTGGTAAATAACAACTCCACTGCTACTGCAGTAAAAGTTGATGTTGCTTTTTTCGGCTTGGTGGTCATTATATCTTAACTCTACACCTACATAATTGATGAGATTGTACCCTAGGAGTCAATGTAAACCAATATTATCAACCCAGAAAGGCTGGGTAGAGAGGAAATTGCACCTACTAAAAATATGTCTATAAAAGTAACAAAAGTCATGGAAACAAATATTTGAAGAAAATAGTCACTGAATAAGAGGATCATAAGAAAAAGAAGACCAAATCAATTCAACATATTGTAAAGCTCATTTTAATCAAAACCTTCAGAAAAAAGAAAATAAAGGTCAGATACATAGTTAAGAAAAATAAAGAAAATGTAAATACATAATTGGGGGCAAATATAAAAGGACTGACATGCTGGATTAAAAAAAGAGAGAACTAAGGACCACATAGAAATGTCTGTCCTTTTTCTACGTGTTATTATAGTAATGAATACATCTATTGGTCTTACAGAAACCATGTGAGATCGATAAAACTTCTTTCACTAGTCATTAATACTATTTTCCTCCCTCAATATTACTTCAATCCTTCATGGTTACCATCATACTGACTTTCAAAGTTGATAAAACCAATATAATTTTTATCAAGTCATTCTGCTCAAGAAATCTACAAAAGCATTGAGGTGCCTACTCCATAAAAAACTACCTGATTTGCAAGGACCTCTTCAATCCAGGCCCAGGTTACTAACTGAAATTAATTCCTACTGTGTACCTTCTACTCTTATTAGGCCACTCCCTATGCTCTGTGCCAGATCTTCTAAGCTTCCTTTTGTTCCTTCCATTATGGAACAGCTCTTCTCACCACCACCTACCAGTAATGTCTCATTTCTTCTATATGCCTCAAATCAAGCCCATTCCACACAGACTTATGGGTATTTACAAATGGAAAGAGTACCAGGTCAAAGTCAGGAAACCTGGGTTCTTAGTCTGGTTATGACATTATCCAGTAGTGTAACTCTGGGCAGACTTTTGATTTAAACAGCTAGTCCAAACTTTTGTTTCCTCATCAATAAAATGAGATATTTAATTAGATTATCTCTAAAATCTGTTTTAAAATTATTTAACTCCCAGAACACTTATAGTCTTAATACTTTATCACTTAATTGTACATTAAAGGTTTTATGTGTATTGAATCTTATTTACTAGGTTATATATAAACTTCCTGAAGATAAAAGTTACATAGTGTGTTTTACATTTTTGCAAACTCAGCAAGGTATGACATAGTGCTTGATAACATAAGGGTTCTCTTTCAGCTGTTTTATTTTAGCTATGGAATCACAAAATTACATGGGTAAACACTGGGCCAGAAGCATGATGTACTGCATTTTAAAACATGCATATTTTGTATTCCTTGAACAAATGAGCATATTTTGTATTCCTTGAAAAACTGAACATCTGAAATCCCTAAGCCTCTGGTTCAGGTATATTACTGAATAACATGTATCTAATGCAACTGAATAATTAAGGTATATTTTATTAACATTTTAAAATGGAAGATGTTTATATGAAAACATTCTAGTGGCTATCTGCATCAACTATAGCTAACCACTTTTGAAAATAAATCAGGGCATTAACCTTTATGCTAAAACTTTTTATAAACCAACTTTCCTTAATGCTACAGAAAAGCAGAGTCAACTGACTGCAAAAGGCTCATCTAGGCCAGAAAGTAAACTTGGCCAGAGATGGTATTATCTCCTTGTACTATAATTTTAAGTGCTTCTTAGGAATTAGAATGATGAATGTTTCCAGGGACAGGAGTTCAAACAGGGGGCATCATCCCCCTTATTATAGTTATGCACAAATTATTAAAATTATAAATATTTACATATATGTACATATGCACACCCAAGATACATTTTTGGTGCCTTCAGGGATTTTATTGTACTTTAATATGTGTTAATTTTATAGTAATTTTATAGTAACGCCAAATATGTAACACAATCACCTACTTTAGAACAATTTTATGAAGTAAGTTTTGTTTGAGACTTAAATCTTACTAATTAATCAGAGAATCCTAGAGGTGGGAAAAACTTAGAAGCACAGGTCTAACACAATGTTTGTTACATAGTAGGGGCTCAATAAATAAATATTTATCTAAGTGATCTTGTAATAGTAGTGAGGACAAAGGAAGACAATCCAAAATGAAGTGGTTTTTATTCCAACTCCATCATTCATTTAAGCAGTCGGCTCATTTTCACCTTACTTTCCTTATCTCTAACTTGCTTTATCTATCATGCAGAAATATCTAAACATTAGGAAAATGAAGAAATTACAGAAATAAGGCTTTATTTCTTTTACAGGCATAAAACACAGGGCCCAAATAACTCTCTTGTATGTATCATTCTGATCCCTATCTTTTTAAGTTAGGGTAGACGCTCATCTTATCTGAGTAAAAGAATATCAAAGCCAAGAATGCAGGTTTATTTGTTCAGATAACAAACATTTATTAAGCACCCACTATGTGCTGTGTAAATTCCAAGACAAAAGAAATGAATAGAAAACAAAACTCAGTACAAAGCGGGATGAGAGATACATAAACAAATGAAAGCATGTTCAAAGTGAAAATGGTCAGTTAGCAGTGAGGAAGGTTTGGGCAAACAAAGAAACCCTAGGTGGCATATAAGTTTTAGAAGACTGATAGATATTTCCAGATGCAAAGTTAAGGGAGAAGAGAAGGACAAAATATGCAAAGAAGAAAATGATGCTTGAAAATCTTCGGAAAATTGAATAAGGTTCCTAGGATGACTATGGGACAGTGGGATGAAAAGAAACTAACAGAATATAGGCAGAGATATGACCCTTCAAAGTCACATTATTCTGCAGTGGGGGATCACTAAGACATTTTAAAGCAGTAAGTATCATATCAGACTTTGTTTTATAAAAATGACACTAGATTGGGAGAGGAGGATTCTGAAGGCAAGATAAATTAGGAGAATTATACACTCCCTTAGAATAGAGATAATAAAAGCTTCAGTTAAAGCAATCAAGATGAAAAGATATTAATGGAAAAAACATTTACATTTACATGTATTTTAAATACATGAAGACTAGAAGAGAGAGAAAAATATTGCACTTTCTTTTCTCAAAACTCATTCAAAATGTCCCAGCTTATTTCTGGTCCACCCAATACCATCAACCCCTTCCAATTTTCCCATTTCCATCCTTTTGTCCATTGGATCCCTGTCTTGATCATCTTTCTGAGGCTCTCCCAACACAACAGTTCATGTTCTAGAATATGCCACCAGTCAATGGCACTGTAACTACCTTTGCAAGCCCATCCAGGAGCCTCAGCTTGACTGTGACCCCAGAAGATTGTTTCCTGCTTACCTAGCAACATCAGACCAACTCTGGCCCCAGCAGACTATACCTTCTCTAACAAGGTCTGAACTCCGACTTTGGGGAAGGACCCTCTTCCAAGCTGTTCCTTCCTTAAATATTCTCCTCCTTCAGGCCTAGTATGTTTGTTATAGTTCTCTTTACACTTTTATAGTTACTAACATATCATAGCTTCATAATTCTTTATATTAAACTTTCCTTGTTTAAAATTACTTTGTGATTTGTCTCATTAGATTCAGAGAGATATTGACAATCATAAGAAATAAACAACTTACAATATTTATGGTGTGAGAATAAAAACATGAGAACCAATAACTAAGAAATTTTTTTAAAAGTAATGAAAAAATGAAAGTAAACCACCCATTAAGAGTCTCATAGGAGAATAAGACAGGGTCTCACTCTGTCCCCCAGGCTGCAGTGCAGTAACGTGGTCATGGCTCACTGTAGCCTCCATCTCCTGGGCTCAAGTGGTCCTCTCACCTCAACCTCCTGAGTAGCTGGGACTACAGGCACACAACATCACACTTGGCTAATTTTTGTATTTTTTTGTAGAAACAGGATTTGCCACGTTTCCCAGGCTGGTCTCCAATTCTTGGGCTCAAGTGATCCTCCTGCCTTGGTTTCCCAAAATGCTGGAAATACAGGTGTAAACCACCATGTCAACTTATTCATGTAACTTACTGGGTAACTATTATATGTACACCCATTAAGACTACTTATAGAACCTCAATATCAGAAAGTGGAATTTAAGACTTTAAAGTAAGAATTTTATATACATGATAAAGTAAAACATTAGGAAAATACCATTAACAACATGAGCTTAAGGACTTTAAAATGAAGACGTACAAAATTAAAGAACTTGGAATAATAGTGGCAAACCCGCATGTCAGTCGATGTTAGATTAAATGTTTCAGATTCGATTCTATGTAAAAGCCTAGAGCAGAAAGGCCAGGCATGGTGGCTCACACCTGTAATCCCAACACTTTGGGAGGCCAAGGTGGGCAGATCACTTGAAGCCAGGAATTCGAGTACAGGAATCTGAGTCCAGTCGAGTGGCCAACACAGTGAAACCCCGTCTCTACTAAAAATAGAAAAAATTATTTTGACATGGTAGTAGATGCCTGTAATCCAGCTACTTGGGAGGCTGAGACATGAGAATCACTTGAACCCTGTAGATGGAGGTTGCAGTGAGTCAAGATGGTGCCACTGCACTCCAGCCTGGGAGACAGAGAGAATCTGTCTCAAAAAAACAAACAAGCAAGCAAATAAACAAGCAAACCAACCAACCAACTAACAAACAGTGAATAAGTCCAGAAAGCCAACAAGGTCAACATGAGATTCAAGCTCAGAACTTTTTTTTTTTTTCTAAATTGTGGTACAATATACATAAAATTTACCAAATTAACCATTTTTAAGTATACAGTTCTGTGGCATCAGGTACATTCATATTGTTGTGCAACCATCACCACTATCCATCTCAACATTTTCATCTTCTTTAACTGAAGCTGTTTTTCCATTAAACAATAACTCTATTCCTTATTCTCCCTGGCCTCTAGCAACTACCATTCTACTTTCTGTCTCTATGAATTTGACTACTCTGTGTAACTCATAAAATAAAATCATACAACATTTGTCCTTTTGTGACTGGCTTATTTTACTTAGCATAATGTCTTCAAGTTTCATCCATGTTCCGGCATATGCCAGAATTTCATTCTTTTTTAAGAATGAAGAATATCACATTGCACGCATACATCGTATTTTGTTTATCCATGCATCTGCCAATGCATAACTGGTTTGCCTCCACCTTTTGGCTATTGTGAATTCTGCTGCTACAAACATGGGTGTATAAATATCTGAGTCCTTGCTATTCTTTTGAGTACACATCCAGAAGTAGCAATGCTGGGTCATATGGTAATTCTATGTATAACTTTTTTATGAAATGCCATATTGTTTTCCAGAGTGCCTATCCCATTTTATATTCATTCCCACCAGCAATGTACAAGGATACCCATTATTCTTTTCAGGCTGCCATTTAAGAAACACCCATTATGTGATATAAGGACATCTACTTAAAACCATATATTTGTTCAACTTATTCATGGTAACTTACTATTACAGCCCACTGAACAGAAGCAGTTGTTTTAAAGCCACTGCCCTTATGAAATCTGTATTTTAGTGAGATAATACAGACACAAAAATAAGAAACAACATATATATATATCATATAATAAATACAACTGAGGCAAATAAAACAAGGTAAAGAGATAAAATAGGGGAATGTTTTAAATGAGGTGGTGAGAAAATTCCACTCTGAATGTGGCATTTAGAAAGACCCTCAGGAAGTAAAGGAAATAGTTATGAGAGACCACAAAAAGCTCTGTTACCGAGCAAACTGGTTCTCCACATTTCTTAGTCAGCAAGCTATATTATATCTGCCATAAGATACAATTATTTAAAAGAAAAGTTAATCTACCTTTTTAAATCACTTAAAGGAGTGTCAAACTCTACTAAACATTAAGAAGTTGACTGTTTCTTTACAGAGAAGTTAAAATGGGACACATTAATAGACTTAAAGGACAATTGTTAGCTCTGATTAAAAATTGAGTAAGAGTGGCTACTACCTAGAGAAAAACCAAAAACGGTCAGGAAGACTTCTGTAAAAACCGCTATTGTCAAGTTATCCAGGTAAACTTTGGAGTTACCTCTAATAACTCACTTTATCTCACACTTTCTATCTAACAAACAAATCCTACCATCTTTACCTTAAAAGTATTCTGGAATTCCCCTTTCACTACCTCCATCATGATCATGATCATTCCGGTGTAAACCACTACCATCTCTTGACTGAATGGTTATCCTACAAATTGATTATCTATCCATTATATCATTGCTCCCTTGCAATCTGTTTTCTGTACAGTAGCTATAATGATCCTTGTAGACGATAATTCAGATCATGTATCTTTTCTGCTCAAAATCCTTTTTGGGGAAAATTCAAAGTCCTTCAAAGTCTTTACCAAGGTCTGTAAGGCAATACAGAATTCCATGTCCTCCACACTCATTATTACTCTCACCTTATCATCTGAACCTCTCTTCCCACTAGCCTCCTCCTGGGAATACAGCAAACACACTTCCATCTCAGGGCCTTTGCACCTGGTGTTCCTGCTTACTGTATTGTTTTTCCTTAAGACATGTACATGTCTTTTGGGTATCCAGTTAGATATTATCTTACCAGGAAGAAAAGCCTTCCCTGACTACCCTGTCTAAAATAGTACCTCAACTGGTCTCCATCTCCATAACCTATTTAATTTTTCTTCATACTGCTTATCACAACCTGATAGACTATACACTTATTCAATCAATATTGTTTTTCCACTTATTAGAATGAATGCTCTGGCTGGGCGCAGTGGCTCACGCCTGTAATCCCAGCACTTTGGGAGGCTGAGGCGGGTGGATCACAAGGTCAAGAGATCGAGACCATCCTGGTCAACATGGTGAAACCCCGTCTCTACTAAAAATACAAAAAATTAGCTGGGCATGGTGGCGCATGCCTGTAATCCCAGCTACTCAGGAGGCTGAGGCAGGAGAATTGCCTGAACCCAGGAGGCGGAGGCTGTGGTGAGCCGAGATCGCGCCATTGCACTACAGCCTGGGTAACAAGAGCGAAATTCCGTCTCAAAAAAAAAAAAAAGAATAAATGCTCTAAGAGAAAAAGGACTTTGCTTTGATTAATGCTGTATCTCCAATTCTTAAAAGTACACGGCACATGGCAAACTTTCAATAGAGGTCTGTTGAATAAAGCAATGAATTTGTATTACTGTGTTATGATTGTCCTTATTCCAAAAAACGAAAACAAAACAAAACAAAAACCCAAAAACAATTGGAGAAAACATGGATCAACAAGCAAGGTGATACCCAATGCTTTGGCTTCTGCAGTTAGTATGTGCAATTCTATTTGTATTTCTACAATGTATCTGGAGAAGGTGGATAATTAATGAAACTATAACTCCTCTACTGAAAACAAAGAACAGACCATAACTTTTGGAATGACTTTAGATCATAGCTGGAGAGGTAAAACTTAAGCTATCAAAAGTGGAGCTCAAATACTAAGTACTTCTCATTATAGAGGATGAAAATTAGTATTTTTTTTAAAAAGAAGCTATTCATAATGTGATGACTGAAAATAAAAACTAGCTCTTTAAATATAAGTATATTTATACTAACTATGTAAATTAAATTCCATGATCCAGTTCACCAAAACAAAGTGGAAAGTAAAAATGTTGAAAGTCAGGAAATTCCAAAGTTTACACTTCTACTCTAATATTAACTTGCTTAAATTGGCTTCTATAACATTTTAAAGGTATATACTTAACAGGAAAATTGAATATAACTACACTAATAGAAATAATGTTGATATATCATTGCTAGAGGAAGTATAACTTAGGAATTTCCTGATTTCTAAGAACCGGTATTTAATGCCAAGGTATTAACACAAATTTTTTCATTTGTAAACTACTTTAAAAATGGAATAAATAAGGAACAAGAGGCAGCTGTTAGATTAATTGAGATTATATGACTTTGCCTTAACCTTAATATTTACTATTTTCATTATATATTAAGATAACATACATATAAAAGAAAGGGTTATATGTATTAATTACATTATAAATCTCCATACTCTATGCTGCCATTATTTTAAGCAGTTTAAATTTTACACACTCTATATGAGCAAAAGTTAAAGATTTGTTTATGTTACATGAAATTATTAAAGACATCCTCTTATATTAAGTCAATTCTTCTATGTCAAATTTTTGTAAAAATAGCAACACTGAAATTTCAACATTTTCTTTTTAAAAAAATTTTATTAAAAAGCCTGGAGAGTTCACGTTCCAACATCTGACTACCTCAGATAAGTAAAGGTTAGTAATATTTTAATTTTAACCTACATCTATGCATAGCCAGGATTCAGAAGCCCTGTGCTCCTCTTCTCTATGCCTCCTAGCCTGGTTCAGGGCTGTGGCTCTAAAAGATACCCTTTTAGGGGCATGACTTTGCAATACAACATTGTGAGTAAATCTTTTCAAACAGGAACTCAGCTCTGTTTTCTAAAGTATCTGACTAAAACTCTGTAGGACTGAAGACAAACCACTGAAATATTTCCTACCTAGGGCAGATACCACAAAGCAATAGTCAGTCAGGGCAAATGCTCCAGATTTGAGGGAGCTCCTATAATTCTGTAGAATCAAAATCTAAAGGTCACTTGTAATTCAGGGTAGCACATTTTGAAGCAAAGAGGCAGCATCAATATTCCTACAAAACACAGTTAGCATCATCATAGTATTTTTCTTTATATAATCTTTCACTCCCTCTGAGTCCTCCTTTTCTCCTTTTCATCCCTGAAGCAGTGTAAATAATAGCTTTCCCACTCCTTTAATAATCCAAAGCTTTTCTTTACTTTCCTCTCCTACCTCCCTCCAAATTTAGATATTAAATAAAATCCTCTTTCTATAAAAATACCAGCTGGTAAGGCAATATTGGAGGTTTCCTTAACATTCCATGCAGTTTACCATATGTACTATATAAAGTTGCTGGGCTGAAAGATATATTTTTCCAGTCTTAAGGTTATTCTTCTGTAGGCTCTAGACATACCACTAAGCAAAATCTTATTTTGGACATCAACCACTAGCAGCTGAGTTTAAATACCATAATTCACAAAACAAAGCACAGCATTTCTGGTTTTTTTTTTTTAAATATATATATATACTTTAAGTTCTGGGATACCTGAGAAGAATGTGCACGTCTGTTACATAAGTATAAACATGCCATGGTGGTTTGCTGTAACCATCAACCCATCATCTACTTTAGGTATTTTTCCTAATGCTATCCCTCCCCTAGTCCCCCAACCCTGACAGGCGCTGGTGTGTGATGTTCCCCTCCCTGTGTCCATGTGTTCTCATTGTTCAACCCCAACTTATGAGTGAGAACATGCAGTGTTTGCTTTTCTGTTCCTGTGTTAGTTTGCTGAGAATGATGGTTTCCAGTTTCATCCATGTCTCTGCAAAAGACAAGAACTCATCCTTTTTTATAGCTGCACAGTATTCCATGATATTTATTTGATACATTTTCTTTATCCAGTCTATCACTGATGGGCATTTGGGTTAGTTCCAAGCCTTTGTATTGGGAATAGTGATGCAATAAACATATATGTTAGCTCTTGTTGCTTGATCCCTTTACCGTTACATAATACACTTCTTTGTCTTTTCTTATCTTTGTTGGTTTAAAGTCTGTTTTATCAGAGACTAGAACTGCAACCCCTGCTTTCTTTTGCCTTCCATTTGCTTAGTAAGTCTTCCTCCATCCCTTTATCTTGAGCCTATGTGTGTCTTTGCATGTGAAATGGGTCTCCTGAATACAGCACACAGATGGGTCTTGACTCTATCCAATTTGCCAGTCTGTGTCTTTTAATTGGGACATTTAGCCCATTTACATTTAAGATTAATATTGTTATGTGTGAATTTGATCCTGTCATGATGCTAGCTGGTTATTTTGCCTGTTACTTGATGCAGTTTCTTCATAGTGTCAATGGTCTTTACAATTTGGTACGTTTTTGTAGTGGCTGGTACCAGTTTTTCCTTTCCATATTTAGTGCTTCCTTCAGGAGCTCTTGTAAGGCAGACCTGGTGGTGACACAATCCCTCATCATTTGCTTGTCTGTAAAGGTTTTTATTTCTCCTTCACTTATGGAGCTTACTTTGGCTGGATATGAAATTCTGGGTTGAAAATTCTTCTAAGAATGTGGAATACTGGCCCCCACTAGGGTTTCTGCAGAGCGATCTGCTGTTAGTCTTTTGGGCTTCCCTTTGCAGGTAATCTGACCTTTCTCTCTGACTGCCTTTAACATTTTCTCCTTCATTTCCACCTTGGTGAATCTAACGATTATAAGTCCTGGGGTTGCTCTTCTCAAGGAGTGTCTTTGTGGTGTTCTCTCAATTTCTTGAATTTCAGTTGTTGGCCCATCTTGCTAGGTTGGGGAAGTTCTCCTGGATAATATCCTGAAGAGGGTTTTCCAACTTGGTTCCATTCTCCCCGTCACTTTCAGGTACACCAATCAAATGTAGGTTTAGTGTTTTCACGTAGTCTCATATTTCTTGGAGGCTTTATTTGTTCTTTTTCATTCTTTTTTCTCTAATCTTGTCTTCACAGTTTATTCCATTAAGTTGATTATCAATCTTTGATATCCTTCTTCCACTTGATCGATTCAGCTATTGATACTTGTGTATGCTTCACGAAGTTCTCATGCTGTTTTTAGCTCCATCAGGTTATTTATGTTCTTCTCTAAACTGGTTATTCTAGTTAGCCCTTCTAATCTTTTTTTCAAGGTTCTTAGCTTCCTTGCACTGGGTTAGAATATGCTCTTTTAGCTCAGAGGAGTTTGTTATTATCCATCTTCTGAAGCCTACTTCTGTCAATTTTCAAACTCATTCTCCATCAGTTTTGTTCCCTTGCTGGCAAGAAGTTGTGATTCTTTGGAGAAGAGGCGCTCTGGTTTTCAGAATTTTCAGTCTTTTTGCACTGCTTTTTCCTCATCTTCATGGGCTTATCTACCTTTGGTCTTTAATGTTTGTGACCTTCACATGGGGTTTCTGAATTGACGTCCTTTTTGTTGATGTTGATGTTGATGCTAATCCTTTCTGTTTGTTAGTCTTCCTTCTAACAGTAAGGCCCCTCTTCTGCAGGTCTGCTGGGCTGGAGGTCCACTCCAGACCTTGTTAGCCTGGGTATCACCATCAGAGGCTGCAGAACAGCAAAGACTGCTGCCTGTTCCTTCCTCTGGAAGCTTAGTCCCATAAAGGCACCCACCAGATGCCAGCCAGAGCTCTCCTGTATGAGGTGTCTGTCGATCCCTGCTGGGAGGTATCTCCCAGTCAAGAGGCATGGGAGTCAGAGACCCACTTGAGGAGGCAGTCTGTCCCTTAGCAGAGCGTGAGCGTTAGAAGCACAGTATTTCAATTTATCTACATGAGATGGTGCAAATAAAACTTGTGTGAACTTCCCCTAGAGTGCTTGCCTGTGAAGAATTACAATTATCCTGAAAAAAAAAATGAATGTGTTTGGTTATTTAGAGTCTTACACACTTGTAATTAGAAGATCTGGGTTCAAGTCATTAGCTCTGCACATAATAATAAAAGCAATATTGTACATCTTCATAAAAATAACTAATATTTGCATTTTATAGTTCAAAATGCATTTTCCCTTAAACAATTATGATCAATAACAACATTAAGGAACAACTGTTATTATTGCCATTTTACAGAGAAATAGACTAGATTTAGACATGCCGAGGACTAAAACTACAGAATTATTTAAATGTGCTATCTCATTTAGCCACAGAATGTCTAGGTATCCCACAGGTGATGCAGGACAGTTCAGGATGACACTCTTAGGGAGTGTGCCACCATAGCTGACCCAACTCAATATATGTCCCCAAATGTGATTTGACCAAAAAAGCATAAGATGAACCACCTGTCGGGGCAGATACAGGGTAATCAAGTATTATAAGCTGAATTCTTGTAACCCCCAAATTCATGTTATAGCCCTAAACGACAATGTGGCTGCATTTGAAGATGGGGACTCTAGGAAGTACTTAAGGTTAAATTAGGTCACAAGGGTACAGCACTGATCTGTTAGAATAAGTGCCTTTATAAGAAGAGACACCAACTCTCTAAAGACTAGATTAGAAAATAAGATAAGAAAAAAGAAAAAAAAGCCCAGACATGGTAACTCACACCTATAATCCCAGCACTTTGGGAGGCCAAGGCAGGCGAATCACCTGAGGTTGAGAGCTCAAGACCAGCTTGACCAACATGGAGAAACCCTGCCTCTACTAAAAATAATACAAAATTAGCCCGGTGTAGTGGTGCATGCCTGTAATCACAGCTACTTGGGAGGCTAGGGCAGGAGAATCACTTGAACTCGGGAGGCAGAGATTGTGGTAAGCCGAGATTCCACCATTGCACTCCAGCCTGGACCACAGGAACAAAACTCCATCTCAAAAAAAAAAGAAAAAAAAGGAAAAGAAGAAAAAAATTAAGTAAAGAAGAAAGAAGAAACACCAGAGTGCTCACTCTCTTCCAGCCCCCACCCCTCCACACACACACACACACACACACACACACACACACACACACGAAAGGTCATGTGAGGACAAGGAAGACAGGCATCTACAAGCCAGAAAGCCCTTACCAGAAACTAAATTTGCCAGGACCATGATTATAAACTTCCCTGCAAAACTGCGAGAAACAGATGTCTGTTTTTTAACCCACCCACCCTGTGATATATTGTTTTGCAAGCCCTAGCAGACTAATATACCAAGTACATAAGATGTACATGATGGCTAATTATTAATTTATAATGAGAAATTACAATTACCAGAAATACTCCTTTTCAGAGCTGGTCTTGGAGCAAAGCGTGAAAGCCAGGAGAACTTGAAAAAGAGGATATTTTAAATAGCCTGAAGTATGCTTTTCACCATAGGCACTCCCTCTTCAATAAAACCAGATAATTCAGACTTCTCTCATTTTAATTCCCTTTCATTGTTCACTACTTCTCATCCTAGTCTCAGACATTCTCTTTGGGCCTCAACAGCATTAGGACATGTCAGAAACTTGAGAGGGATACACACTTTCTTTAAATATGTTTTTTAAAAATAAGAAAATTAGAAAAGCTATAAGCTATAGACTGAGATCAATACTAACTTAATCACTGACTTTTCATATCTTGGTCATGATTTATTCAGTGTAGATCCAAGTCTTTATGGGTGCTTTACTCTAGTCTCCAAGGACTTCGGACAAATTCCAGAACTCAGGCTATACCTCCTTTTCATCCTACTTGCCAACAGCACATTATAGCCTATTAAGTGCTTGTATGTAAAATATCATATTTGAGCTGTACAACACACACCCCCTAAGAACATTATAAATTTTCCCCCAAAATTATGCAACTAACTCTTAGTAAGTGGTGAAACCTAGATCCACACTCTTAACTATTTCAGATATCATTATGGGTAAATAGATGAAGTAACTTCTAACCCAGAATTTCCTTGAAATAAAGATATATGTGGTCATTGGTAAACTACAAGTAAGCTTTTATAATAAGTGTTTTAAAAGCTCATTATAAAATGGACAGTTACTATTTTTGCTTAATATTTTTATTTCATTAGCAGTAATGGCTTCAACACCTGACAACACAGACATGCTCACTGAGACTTTTCTAAACTGATGAAAAATTAATCATAGAATTATCTAAAGCTTTGTGTGAACAACTGTCAATCACCTATACTTATTTGGAGGTAGTGGAAAAATTAATCAGAAATACAAAATAGAAATTAATCCAGAGGGTTAGTTTTTACATTTTTGGGACAATCTCACTGTGTCACCCAGTGAGATTGAGCTGGAGTACAATGGCCTTATCTCAGCTCACTGCAACCTCCACCTCCTGGGTTCAAGCAATTTTCCTGCCTCAGTCTCCTAGGTAGCTGGGATTACAGGTACATGCCACCACATCCAGCTATTTTTTTTTTTTTTTGTATTCATACAAAATTTTAGTAGAGATGGAGTTTCACCATGTTTGCCAAGCTGGTCTCCAACTCCTGACCTCAAGTGATCTGCCCACCTTGGCCTTCCAAAGTGCTAGGATTACAGACATGAGCCACCACACCTGGCCTCAGAGTGTTATATTGGTTAAAGAAAATAGTTATTAAGAAAAATAGTTATTTCTATCACCCCTTTGTAGCTAAACCTGTAACTTCAATGGGAAAGGGTAGAAAATATGTTTATTTACTAATAAGCAAGTCAACCAAAAACATACATACATTTCACACAAATGGAAACTGGGTGGTTTTCCCTTGAACATCATTTAATTTAAAAACGTAAAAGAGACATATAATTTCATTTTTTCTCAAAAGCATAGAAAGTATTCTAAACAAAAAAATGGTTTAGAAAGAAGACATTGTAACTTGGAGCTTTATATTATAATAACAAAAAAGTAATCTCTTACAAATTCAAGAATGGCATACCATAAAATTAATCCTATATACTGTAAACTATTCACAGAATCATCAAGATAGTTTCCTTGTATTGATTTTTTTGTTTCAGCTTTTTTTTTTTTCTTTTTTTTTTGAGACAGAGTTTTGCTATTGTTGTCCAGGTTGTCTTGGCTCATTGCAACCTCCACCTCCTGGGTTCAAGCAATTTCCTGCCTCAGCCTCCCAAGTAGCTGGGATTACAGGATCCCACCACCAGGCATGGCTAATTTTTTGTATTTTTTTTTTTTTTTTTTTTTTTTTAGTAGAGATGGGCTTTCAACATGTTTGCCAGGCTGGTCTCAAACTCCTGATCTGAGGTTATCCACCTGCCTCAGCCTCTCGAAGTGCTGGAATTATAGGCGTGAGCTACCTACCATGCCTGGCCCTGGTTTATCTTTTTTTAAATTATAAGACCTTTTCGGCCAGGTGCGGTGGCTCAAGCCTGTAATCCCAGCACTTTGGGAGGCCGAGAAGGGTGGATCACGAGGTCAAGAGATCGAGACCATCCTGGTCAACATGGTGAAACCCCGTCTCTACTAATACAAAAAATTAGCTGGGCATGGTGGTGCGTGCCTGTAATCCCAGCTACTCAGGAGGCTGAGGCAGGAGAATTGCCTGAACCCAGGAGGCGGAGGTTGCGGTGAGCCGAGATCACGCCATTGCACTCCAGCCTGGGTAACAAGAGCGAAACTCCGTCTCAAAACAAAAAAAAGACCTATTTTTTTAATTACAAAGATGCTTTTAAAAATCTAAGATCCAGCTAGTAGATACTAAGAAATATATTTTACTTTTCTATATTAAAAGTATTTGTATATATCTAATGCTAAATTATCTAAAAATTACTCACTCTAGTAAAATAATTATTATTTCCTTTAGCTTAGGTCTTTAAGTCAAGACTCTTCTTATTTGAACCTCTAAAGAAGTAGTAAGGAGCCCCACAGGTGGCAGAGAGGTTTCTAGAAACAGAGAGGAGTATAAGTAGGACAAATTCTTAACAATGCCTGGCTCCTTCACTCCCATTCACCCAATAAGAGCTGCTCCATTTTTGTCAGATATATATTAGGACTCTGAATATCTGAAAAATTTTTAAAAGAGTGCTGTATCTAAAATGGTTCCAAAACAGCTAGTCTGAAGTAGACACTAAAAGGTGTTCTATGCAATAATCAAACACTGATGGACACATTTACCACTATCTCTCTAAAACACTTAGATTTCTCAACTTAATCTCACAAAATTGACCAAACAGCATACAAACTGTCCCGATGGACAGCAAAGTATACACTTTCATTGTTCATTACAGTGTTAATCTATAATTTAATGTTTTCAACCAAATTAGTTCTAAATTGGTAAATTCAATTACAGGGAATGATAAATGTACATAATCCACTCAGCTTGGCAGGGACTTGGCTACAGCGCATGCCCAATATATACACTCTTTCTTAGAGCAAATACATTTACCAAAAGCTACTGGGTCAGTTCATAACCTATCCTGGTATCTTGGTAGCTAAGGATAGAGACAATAATTACTAGAGATTATAGCCCATGTCTAATGAAATTTTACAAACATCACACACACTATATATACGTGATATCTATCTATATATCTACATATATAGATATATCACTTATCTATATGTGCTATTAAGTAGCAGCAGTCTTTTTCAAAGCCCTACTATTTACCATCAGTATTAATTTTAAAAAACAAAATGATACTAACATAAAAAACTACCTGAAAATAAGAAACAAGCCTTCTCGGGGGGGGTGGTTAAAAAAAAGCCTTATACTAATATTTTCAACACAGAATAGCACAGGTTCTCCAACTGACAAATGAGAACAACCGTTCTGAATCACACTGCTTCCTGTAAGAGAGAGGCAGAACACAGAACCTGAAACGTTCTCCTACATCTGCTTCCTAATTTCATTACAAAGGTGATGAGAATATATGTTGCCTTAACTAAAGCCATGGGTTTTCTGAAATTTTTTTATATGCCAAGGTTCTGATGACC